GAGAGAGAGAGAGAGAGAGAGAGAGAGAGAGAGGAGAGAGAGAGATTCCTATTTAATATAGGGGAAAATGGAGGTTGCTAAGATCTATGGTTAGAATGACTATTCTAGCCATGATATTCGGGGGGGGGAGGGAATTCATGCTAGCTTTTTTGTGGCCCCTGGAACTGCAAATCTTAAGGCCACAGAGCGTGAACCCACTTAAATTTCAGGTTCAGTCCTACCCATAGTTTCAGACACCCCATTTTCCTAGAACACACCTACCGACAGGAGGGCTACGGATAAGTGATATGTATGCTGTGACACACTTCTTCCTGTTCCTGTTCGCCTGTGAGTTTTGTGCCCTTGGACACTGGTTCCCTCATCTACTCCACATCCAGCGTCTCCCTTGAGAGTGAGGCGCACCCATCCTTGCCTCCTAGGTCTTCTTTTCAGAGGTCATCTCGTCTTGACCCAAAACCCCTTTGTCAGGGCCCTTCTCATGGCAGATTTCACGTCCTGGTTCCTCAGAGTGTAGATGAAGGGGTTGAGGGTGGGCGTGACGATGCCATAGAAGAGAGCCATGATCTTGCCTCTGTCGTGAGCATAACTGGAGGGAGGCTGCACGTACATGCTGATGGCTGTGAAGTAGAAGAAGAAGGCCACAAGCAGATGAGAAGCACAGGTGTTGAAGGCTTTCCAGCGACTCTCTGCAGAGCAGATTTTCATCACAGCCTGAGCAATGAGCACATAAGTGCCCAGGATGAGGGCAAGGGGCACCAGGAGTATCAGAGCCCCCACGACATTAAGCTCAGCTTCATTCACTCGAGTGTCAGTGCAAGCCAGTTTCAAAAGGGCGGGGACTTCACAGAAGAAATGGTCTATCACCCTGCGTCCACACCTCGGGGCCACCACAGTGAGAGTGGACTGGACAAGGGAGTTTGTGAAACCACTTGCCCAGGTCCCAGAAACCATGTGGACACAGCGTCTCCGGTTCATGATGACTGGGTAGTGCAGGGGCTTGCAAATGGCAGCATAACGGTCAAAGGCCATGATGGCCAGGAGTATACACTCGGTGGATCCCAAGGCCAGAAAAATATAAAGCTGGGCAACACAGCCCCCGCGGCTGATGGTCTTTTCTGGTCCCCTCAAGTTGACAAGCATCTGTGGAACTGTGCATGTGGTATAGCAGAGGTCCAGCAGGGAGAGATTGGAGACAAAAAAATACATGGGACTGTTGAGCTGGGGGTCCAGGCGGGAAATTAAAATGATGGATAGATTTCCAAATAGGGCAAAGATGTAGGCCGCCAGAAAGATCATGAAGAGTGGTGTTTCCAGCCAGGGGCGGTCAGAAAATCCCAGCAGGATGAAATCATCCAGCGAGCTCTGATTATTGATCCACATTGTGGCCCTGATGAGCAAAATTCCACGTGAAACCTCGAAATATTCCTTGTTAGGGACCGGTTTGAATGATGAGAGGAAGCCACTGAAAAGTAGAAGCCAGAGATGCCAAGATAAAATGCTGGTTTGCTCTATGTGCACCTTTATCTCGGTGACAAAAAATGATGTTGCTTTCCTTTCTTCTGATTAAGGCGAAATGTTAAGTCAACATTCGCCCATGTCGCATTGAAGACAGCTGAGAAAGGAACAAAATCAGCATCAGCGATAAGACGGGAAGTATCACTTACCTACTGGATGTCTTCTGCTCAGCTATTCGCTACTTCTAGATTTGGACATCTTCTCTCCAAACAGTTTTAGTAGCATTGCCATCAAGTCTGTATGTTGCAGATGTTTACTAATTATAATGGAGCAGACTGACAAAAGCAGCGTTTGCCCAAAACAGGAGGAAGGAGACATAGCAGAAAGGGGGCTGCAGAGCCGTGCCTTCCTGCCAGCTTGTCCTGTCACACCAGCCGTGGCCGCAGTAGCGCAGGTCAGAGACTTGGTGACCAGCACCTGTGTGCCAGGACTCCGCATGCTCCCAGCTTGAGTGCTGCTGCTACTCAGATAATTAAACATAGAGGGAGAAAGTCAACGAAATAGTCATGCACATCTCACTCCTACATTCTAAGTTGTTTGTTTATATTTTATTATGTATTTGTATTAGTGCATGTTTGCAGCACATAATGATTACCTTCATCCTGGGGAGTTTGCACACGTCCATAACACATCTCTGTTCTTTTCTGTCTCCTTCCCCTATGCCACACAGAAGGATAAACGTGAGTCGTTTGTAGGTAAACGGGTGCACCTTGAGATCATAACGTTTAGTGAAATAAATCAAACACACAAGTTTAAATATCACATGGCTTTACTTATATGCAACAGTCAAATGTGCAGCAGACGGCCTCACAGCCTCGTAAAATAATGGCTAGAGCCATGTGGACATGCACAGAGATGCAGCCAAACTTCCTATTTAGCCTTGTGTTTGCGCTGGCGTGAAACATGGTTGGTATCCATCCTGCAAAGGTTATCTTGAGTACAAGAATGATCTTTTGATTTTCTGCTCTTCCTTCTTTATTGATCCTTCTGAATACTGCGCTGTGTTTCTCTTATAAAGTGTGGATACATGATGGGGAGATTTTTCCTTTTTGTAGTTCGACTGGTCTCCTGACTAGATTGATTATACTCTTTCAAATGTGAGTATGTGATTTGTAGAAATGAAAGCATGTGCAAAAGATGCTGAATATTCACTTCATAGCAACTAATTTGAATTTGATTTGAACTGGCAATAACAAAACTTCTCCTTTAGTGCTCTAATATATTAACTAGATTATTTCACCGTCGTCATTTTTCACCTTTGGCTCCAGTTTTGGTGACATTTCTTCACAATTTAACCCAGATTCATAATTTATTTTTCCATTCCAAACCCAATAGGTGAAAGCAAAAGTTATTGCCTATTTTATTCTTAAACATTTTCAAGATTTTTATTACTAATTCAAAAATCAGTACAAATAACCAACCAATGAATAGTTATTTTACCTAGGAAAAATAACAGGCTTTGAATATTGTATCTGGGTTTCTGACAACATTATATCTTGATTTCTTTAACTAGATAATGAGACGTAAAATATCTGCATAAAAAGCCCATAAAATATTCATGACAATTAGACATAATTTCCTTTGTAAATAGAGGGAAAAAATCTACACGATATGACTTATAATGCAAAGAGAAATAAGCAGAAGCATCAATATTAATAGGGACACTTGGATGATTAAAAACCGCTTAAGAATGATTCTAGAAATTTCCAGGTGCCCATGATCTTTGATACAAAGTGAAATTGATCACTTTCTTGAGTCTTTGTTTTGTAGATACTAACATTTATTATCTCTATAACGTCACTTCTCCTTCCAAACTTGTCCTAATTTCTTTCTTTTTCTATTACTCATCCTGGAACTAAGAATCTTTAGGAATATTGTCTTGAAATATGGTTTTGGATCATTTTATGCTACTGAAGAAATGGGACAGATATCATTGACAGTTAGTTAGAGGGTTATTATAAGAATACATAAAATTAATCTTCAGCAACTATTATATTTAGAAGACATTTGCTGTTTTGCAAGATTACTTTTATATGAACGCCCTTAACTAGCATTCAAGTAATTTCTTGTCAAATGAAATGCTAAACAATGTTGAAATGTCATCTTTGACCTAACTAGATTATTTTTGTGTTAAAATCTCTCTCAGGATCACATTGATTAATTGAAGTCAGGAAATCTTTTTCTATATCTGAAGAAAGTTGAGTTTCCTCGCCTGTTACAAAAGTTATTGTCAAATCATTTTTTACAATCTTTGTATTTTTTTGTATTATCTGAGTCCAAGCAGCCAATCGTTTGTTCTAATTATTAAATGTTTTTTAGTTTCTCAGATAAATTCGCACTTTTAGAGTAAAATGTACTTACATTCCTTATTTCAGAGAAGAAGTGAAGTTTTCTAAATAAAGGTACATAGTACGTCTACATATTTAAAACTTAGATATATGTATAAATATTAAAATTTATAGGCACACAGATAATACGAGTGATGATGAACATATGGCTCGTACACTCACAAAGTAGAGTGGAGAGGGGAAAATGGGTAAGAAAGAAAGAGAATGAGGTAGAAAGACAAATATACAAGGATAGCAATGTTCCATGGAATATGCAGAAGATACTTAGCCTGATAAGGATCCGTCATATATGTAAGTATGGAAAGAAGTAGAAGAAGAATATGAAGTACTTAAGGCTGTAATATTGCCTCAAGTGCGTGACTAGTTCAGTTTATTTGCTTGGGGAGGACTATGGGGTGTCCTTGCCTTTCTCACTGGATAAGAAAATTACAAGGATTGGTAGAGCTTCATTAACCTAAATAGAAATTAAAACTCATGCTGCTGAGCCCCAGGAGCGTGCTAACCTAGAGCTGGAGACAGAGGCACCAGCCCAGAGCGAGTGGCGCGTGCAGAAGCATGGGGAGCAGGGAGAAACGTCTGAGCTTGTGGCTGACGACGGTGTGGAGCTTGGTAGTCCTGCTGCCCTCTTCAACACCTGCTGAGTGGCACGTTGATGCTATGTGTCGAGAAGACGCTGCAGGACTGATAATTCGGCGTTCACGCCTCCTCTAATTCATTTTCAGATATTTGCTACGGATTTAATCCAGCCCTGCCTATTGGATTCACTTATTAGAAGTCATCATAGATTTAAACAACCTTTGGTTTGCTAGCGTGGTAGGCTATTTAGAGCTAAACAATTGATAACCCAAATCAGTATTTGTAATGCACATAACAGTTTCAGTCCGGACAAGTGGTAAAAGGCATAACTGAAACAGTTAAGCCAAAATTCCAAAGGTAAATGATATGGATAGTAACACGTGTGTTCTCACAGTACCCCTCCTGTTAAAACACTGCGTAACAAGGTTTGAACATATTAGAATGCTCACATCAAATATTCCATAAACCTAAATTTGACACAATTTTACACATGCATGTAACCCTCCTCCTAGGCATGTTTCATTGGTTCCTATAATGAGCACCTAAAGTAAGGATGATTTTTTTCTTTTATCTCGAGTGGTGCCTTTACGCACCAGAAGGTTACTGCACTTTCCCAATTTCATACAATCAGTAAATTCCAGAACTAAGACGTGACTAATTCGGCGCTTTGAATTTTATATCGCCCCTCTTTCCGAGATCAGACGAGACCGGGCGCGTTCAGGGTGGTACGGCCGTAGACTAGTGCCCCACTTTCGACAACCCCATGGTTCTCTTCTGAAACAAAACTCATGTGGCTTGTACAATAACCCTTTTAGTTGTCTAAAAATACATTTAGCTTATAGTTCTACTGATGAACAATCACATTAGCCCACCCTATGAATCCAGGATGAAGAATGACGGCTTTGATTTAGGCCGACCTTCCTCTCCAGATGGCCTCTGTGCTTGCCTGGTGCGGCACTGCAGGCTTGTGACGGACACTGTCCGGTGTCTCCCACCCGATGCACAGGCTGGTCTGTGCCTGGATTTCTGCTCAGCCCATAACCAAGCCCTCACTGACCCACTGGGAGGTCAGTCTTAACAACATCAAACCCAATCTATGGCCTTTGGTAAAATCCACACATCCACAGGGAGCTTTCCCAGGAGTCCCCACCTTATACCGTTTTCTCTCTCTTCTCTTTGAGCCTCTGAGATTCAGCATCATGAGAGCTGCTACCACCAACGAGTCCAGGAGAAAACAAAACAGAGGAACCAGAAGGGGAGAAGCCTCAGAAGCAATCACAAGCATGTTCCTAAGGGAATTCAAGCTTTGGGCAGGTGAGTTTGGAGAGTCACCTAAAGAGAGGTCAGATCAATTCCAATAAGACTCGATCTCAAGAGTTGTCAAGATGATTCTATACTATGGACTATGAAATAGGTAAAATGTCCCTTCATACCTGCTTATCGTTGGGGGGGGAAATAGCACAACTTTGTAAAGCTGTGAAAACACTTCTAAACTAGAAAATTGTCACGGTTTCTTCCACGGTGGCTCCTTATTCTAACTCTCTTACCTATATTTATTATATGACAGTTTATAACCATAGCAGACATGTTAATTCATTTGATAGGCATTGTCACTGCATAAACTAGGGGAATATATCTTTATTATTCTTAATTAGCTGATAATAACCCCAGAACTCAGAAAAATTACAGAATTTGACCAAGAAAGGTCACAGCCAGGAGCCCAGGAACTCAAAGCAATGTTTCTGGATCTGATCTACTTTTTGCTCCTCCTAGTTATTGATCAGAACTGATACAGACTCCTCAGACTCCTCAGAACTCACACATAATGTGTTTTGGCCCACAACATGAATTAATCCTTACTCCACATCTCTGAAGCACTAGACAAAGAATGATCATGAAACTACTGACTGTTTATAAATGTTTTACTTTTGGACAAATGAA